GCAGGAATGTTTTCATTTCAGTGAAGTGAAATTATACCTTTTTCTTTTACAGACCTTGCATTTGGTGTTATATTTCAAAATTCATCACTAAGCCCAGAGTCACCTACATTTCCTTCTGTATTATTTTCTAGGAGTTTATTACTTTTGCATTTCACATTGAGATCTATGATGTGTTTTGAGTTATTTTTTGTGAAATGTGTAAGGCCTGTGTCTACATTCATTGTTGTGTGTCTGTGTGTGCCTGTGTTTTATGTGGATATCCATTATTCCCAGTGCTGTTTGTTTAAAAGATTCCCTTTTCATTTGAATTTCCTTGCCATCTTTCTCCAAGTTCAGTTGAATGCATTTGTGTGGGTCTATAGGAAAGCAACTGATTAACCCTCAATCTCAGTCTCTTATTGATTCCAGGAGCTATCTCTTTCATTGTTTATTCTTTCAGATGTTTCACAGGGATAATCATGTTATACAAACAAATGTTATAGATTTAGCTACAGGACTCATGAATATGTTCATTCTCAGGAAGTGAAAGTTCCCTCTGTTAGTAGTTTGTTTTCATAAATGGATGTTGGATTTTATCAAATTCTTTTTCATTTTCATTTCACCCTCTGTTCCTTTCTGATATTTGTACTTTTTCTCTTCCCTCCTTTCTTAGTTATCTTGACTAGATATTTATTAATGTTATTAATCTTGGTAAAGAACTAGAGTTAGGGACTTCCCTGGTGGTCCAGTCGTTAAGGCTTCTTGCTCCCAATGCAGGAGGCCTGGATTCCATCCTTGGTCAGGGAACTAGATGCCACATGCATGCTGCAGCTAAGAGTCCACATGCTGCAATGAAGATCCCATGAACTGCAACTAAGACTGGGTGCAGCCAAATAAATAAATAAATATTAAAAAAAAAAAAGAACAAGAGTTAAAAAAATTTTTTCTCCATCGATATCCCACAGTTACCTTACATTTTTTCTAATTTTTATTATTTCTTTTATTCTCTTTACTTTGCGTTTCATATGCTCTTCTTTTTATCGTTTCCTAAGGTACATGCTTTTACGTTATTATTTACACATCTTAGTGTTTTTCCAATGTATTTGTTTTATGGCATAAATTTCCCTCTAGGCACTGCTTCTGCTGCATCCCACATCCTTTGACACATTATGTTTTCATTTCATTTAGTTCAAAATAAATTTTATATTTCTTGAGACTTCTTTGATCTTCTGTAGTATTTCAAAGGGTGTTGTTGAATCTCCAGGTATTGAGAGGTTTTCCAACTCTTGCTGTTATTGATATCTAGATTAATTGCTTTTGAGGTCTAAGAGCATAGTTTGTATGATTTTTCTTCTTTCAGATTTGTTAAGGTATGTTACATATCCCCGAATGTGTTCTGTCTTAGTGAATGTTCCATGTAAAGTAGAGAAGAATGTGTATTCTGCCCTTGTTGCATAAAGCATTCCATAGGTTACAGTTAAGTTGAGTTGTTTCATGGTGCTTGTTCAGTTCAACTCTGTCCTTCCTGATTTTCTGCCTGCTGAAATTTATAGCTTGTGATAAGGGGGTGTTCATGTACAATTATAATAATGGATTCATGTATTCCTCCCTGCATTCTTCACATCTTTCCTTAAGTACTTTGCCCCTTTGTTGCTATGTATGTACACATGAAGGATTGTTATACCTTCTTGGAGAATGGACCTTTTTGTCCCTATGTAAAGCCCCTTTTTATCGCTGAGTTTTCCTTGGGCTGAAATCTCCATTATCTGAAATTTATATACCAGCTTTTTTTTTATTAGTTTTGGCATAGTGCATTTTTCTCCATCCCTTTACCTTTCATCTACCTGTGTCTTCATATTTAAAATGGGTTTTTTGTAGACAACATATAATTACAGTTTTTAAAATCTGATATTACTGTATTTGTCTTTCACTTGTATTGAGACCATTGATGATTGAAATGGTGATTAATACAGTTGGATTAATATCTACCACACATTCTCCTGTTTCTATTTGTTGCCCTTGTTCTTTCTTTCATTTGCCTTCCCCTTTTTTTCTACCTTCTCTGGCTTTAACTGAGCATTTTACCTGATTCTTCATTTTAATCCTCTCTTAGCCTATCAGTTACACATTAAAAAAAATTTTTTTTTGTGGTTGGCCTTGAGTTTTCAGTATATATTTAGAATTAGCCTACGTCTTCTGTCAAGTAATACTATACCTCTTCATTGGTTGTACAGGTATCTCATACCACACTATTCTCAATTCCCTCCTGTCTTACCTTACTTATCCACAAGGCTTTCATTACCAGTGTCATTGTTGTTAATATTATTTTACACAAAGTCTTATCTGTTATATATGATAATATTAAAGATGTTTATTTATTCCTCTCCTAATCCACCTTCATCATTTGTATTCTTTCTTATGAATTTTGAACATTTGTTTCAAAGTAGATGTAGTAATGACAAATTCCCTCAATTTTTGTCTCAGAAAGTCCTCAGATCTTCCTTGTTTTTTAAGGATAATTGTCCTTGATGTAGTATTCTTAGAGTGGTTTTAATTTCAGAACTTTAAGCATTTCAATCCACTCTGTTCTTGCTTGTTTGTTTTCTGAAAAGGTGTCCAGTTTAATTCTAATTTCTCTATACCTGAGGTCTGTTTCCCCCTCTGGCTTCTTAAACTATGTTCTTTTTGCATTTGATTTTTCTCTAGTTAGAGTATGACATACTTTAGTCTTCTTTTTAGGTGTTTTCATGTTTAGTGTTCACTGAGATTCATGGATCTACAGTTGTTGTCTATCATTAATTTTAGAAAAATCTCAGTGATTGTTACTTACATCTTCTGTTTTTTTTCTCTCTCTCTTTTCCTTCAGTTATTTTCATTATGTGTGTTTTTAATCTTCTGTTAGAAAAAGTTATGCTAGGATTTATGGATAGTGTGTTCTATCTGTTTTGTTCCTTTTGTCTTTGCATTACACTCTGGTGAAACTTTTTTTTTTCAGTACAGGCCTTAAGAACAGAATATTTGTGGCATATTATAAAACGTCTTTATTTTCTCTTTCCCAGTTCCAGAGACACCAGTTTGTCTTTTGAAGTCATTGGTCTCATGGCTCTAGGAAGACTTTCAAATGTTTTCATTCTCTTCTAGTAAGATTGAAAATCACAGCTTTTAGGTTCATAAATTCCAGAGCATAAGTTGGCCAGGCAGCAGCTAGCGTGGCTGCTCAGGAAACATTAGGTCCTGCAATTGCAGAATGGAGACCTTATGTTGTTTTGGAGGAAACCACTGATGAAACCTTTACATATTTTATAATCATGGACAAATTCACCATCAACTCATATGAACTTAAGTGAACTCACTCGCAATCTGTAGCTCTTAACCTTTTCCTCAAGGGAACAGGGTTTGATCAGAAGGAGCTATTCTGGCTATTATCTCAGTATGTATTCTAAAGTTTGGCTGGAACAATCCCTGAGGCACATGAGTGGAGGGATTTTGTGGTCTAAGTTGTTATTCCTTTTTCCTCAGGTCTGAGCTCTAAGTTTAGAATAACTTTCTAGCTGCATGAAATTATACATAGAGAGAAGGGAATAACACAGTCTGTGATCATTATTACACAACTTAAAAGCAGTGCTTCCCCACAAGAATATTTACATTCAGTCAGGTGCATCTAATTACTTCTAAAGGGCTGGAGGACTTTGGAACAGTGGGGCCAGCTGGGCTTTGGTAAAAGTTTGATTTCTACAGGCCCCCTGGACTCTCATGTTTGGTGATAGGACTAGGAAGAAAAGCTTCCAGTTCTCCTCAGGAGACTCATTCATTGAAAACTCATGCAGATTTGACCCTCTACCTCATGGAGTGCTATAAATGGTGGATAATAAGGGAGAAGATGAGTATGAGATTAGATCACTCCCTAACACCATACACAAAAATAAGCTCAAAATGGATTAAAGACCTAAATGTAAGGCCAAAAACTATCAAACTCTTAGAGGAAAACATAGGCAGAACACTCTATGACATAAATCACAGCAAGATCCTTTTTGACCCACCTCCTATGACATAAATAACAGCAAGATCCTTTTTGACCCACCTCCTAGAGAAATGGAAATTAAAACAAAAATAAACAAATGGGACCTAATGAAACTTAAAAGCTTTTGCCCAGCAAAGGAAACCATAAACAAGAACAAAAGACAACCCTCAGAATGGGAGAAAATATTTGCAAATGAAGCAACTGACAAAGGATTAATCTCCAAAATTTGTAAGCAGCTCATGCAGCTCAATAACAAGAAAACAAACAACCCAATCCAAAAATGGGCAGAAGACCTAAATAGACATTTCTCCAAAGAAGATATACAGACTGCCAACAAACACATGAAAGAATGCTCAACATCATTATTCATTAGAGAAATGCAAATCAAGACTACAATGAGATATCATCTCACACCAGTCAGAATGGCCATCATCAAAAAATCTAGAAACAATAAATGCTGGAGAGGGTGTGGAGAAAAGGGAACCCTCTTGCACTGCTGGTGGGAATGTGAATTGGTACAGCCACTATGGAGAACAGTATGGAGGTTCCTTTAAAAACTACAAATAGAACTACCATACGACCCAGCAACCCCACTACTGGGCATATACCCTGAGAAAACCATAATTCAAAAAGAGTCATGTACCAAAATGTTCATTGCAGCTCTATTTACAATAGCCTGGAGATGGAAACAACCTAAGTGCCCATCATCGGATGAATGGATAAAGAAGATGTGGCACATATATACAATGGAATATTACTCAGCCATAAAAAGAAACGAAATTGAGCTATTTATAATGAGGTGGATAGAGCTAGAGTCTGTCATACAGAGTGAAGTAAGTCAGAAAGAGAAAGACAAATACTGTATGCTAACACATATATATGGAATTTAAGAAAAAAAAATGTCATGAAGAACCTAGGGGTAAGACAGGAATAAAGACACAGACCTACTAGAGAATGGACTTGAGGATATGGGGAGGGGGAAGGGTAAGCTGTGACAAAGCAAGAGAGAGTCATGGACATATATACACTACCAAATGTAAGGTAGATAGCTAGTGGGAAGCAGCCGCATAGCACAGGGAGATCAGCTCAGTGCTTTGTGACCGCCTGGAGGGGTGGGATAGGGAGGGTGGGAGGGAAGGAGACACAAGAGGGAAGAGATATGGGAACATATGTATATGTATAACTGATTCACTTTGTTATAAAGCAGAAACTAACACACCATTGTAAAGCAATTATACTCTAATAAAGATGTAAAAAAAGAAATAAGGGAGAAGATGAAAGAATCTTCTCACATGAAATCAATGTCTTTAAAATGATATTTGTTTCACTTATATAGCATTTCTGTCATTTCCCAGCAATCTCTGGGCTCTACTATTAATGAGGTATAAGTTATCATGTGATCACAGAAATAATGTGTAAATAATTTCCGTGTGTTCATGATGCTGTTAAATTTACGAGGAAGCATGGAGAGAATAAGTTTTTCTCATGATCAAGTCATAGAATAACTCTTTGGAAACAACAGGTTCATAAGTAACTTTACTATAAATGGAGTATAGATGTCTAGTGCTGTCAGTCTCATGCATCTTACTGTACATATATTTTGGGTGTTTTAGGACTCATTGGCTATTGAGGATGTGGTTGTGAACTTCACCCTGGAGGAGTGGGCTTTGCTGGATCCTTCACAAAAGAAACTCTACAGAGATGTGATGCAGGAAATCTTCTGGAACCTGGCCTCAGTAGGTAAGGATGGTGACGTTCTTTCACCTAGTCAGTTAGAGAACAAATGCTTTGTGCTACTTGACATTGTTCTAAGATGTGGAATTGGGGAAGGGAGGATGTTGGGATATCAACTGGGCTTGGTAACACTAAACAATGGACAGAGAATCAAATAATTCTTATTAATTTCTAATATTTTGGAATAATTTTTCTGGGTCTGCATTTTAGGAAAAACATGGGAATATCATGACATTGGAGATCAGTACAGAAACCAGGGGGGAAACCTAAGGTAAGTCACACTCACAATACAAAGCATTGTCTCAAGTGAGAATCCTGGTAAATTATGAAATTTTTAAAACAAGCAAACAAAACAAATAGCCCCTTCTTCAAATTTAGTTCTTCTTATAAAATTTCTACCAAAAACATTTTCTTAAATGTGACATAAATGTTAGGTGTTTGCAAAATAGTTCACTTGCAAATATTATTAATAAACCCTATATTTGAATATCACTTTTAATAGTAGGAAGGGTGAAGTCCCATTGCAGTACATTCAGTATATTCAATTTCTAACAATTCACACAGGGTGGAAAACCTATACTATTCCTATAAATCATAATAAATACAAGAAATATAAGATCAATAAAGAAATCATTAGAAATGTGCTTTTCATTTTTCCCAGAAGTCCTATGGTAGAGAGACTCTCTGAACGTAAAGACAGTAGTTCCTGTGGAGAACACTTCAGGCTTATTCCATCTCTCAATCTGAAGAAGAAAACTACTGGACTAAAACCATGTGAATGCAGTGCATGTGGAACAGTCTTCATGGATCGTTCATCCCTTACTAGACACATGAAATGTCACATTGAACATGAACCGGGAAAGTTTCAAAAATATGGTGACAAGCTATATAAATGTAAGCACTGTGGTAAAGCCTTTAATCATTTCACTTCCTTCCTAATGCACAAAAGAAGTCACACTGGAGAGAAACTGTATGAATGTAAAATATGTTCTAAAGCATTGAGTACTCTCAGTTGTCTTCGAAAACATGAAAGAACTCATACTGGAGAAAAACCCTATAAGTGTAAGGCATGTGGGAAAGCCTTCACATGGCTCATAACCTTTCAAAAACACATGATAACACACAGTGGAGTTGGACCTTATAAATGTAAAGAATGTGAGAAGGTATTCGTTAATGCCAGTTCTCTTAAAGTACATGAAAGGAGTCACACTGGGGAGAAACCCTATCAATGTAAACAATGTGGCAAAGCCTTCAGTTATTACTGTTCCTTACGAGTACATGGAAGAACTCACACTGGAGAGAAACCCTATCAATGTAAACAGTGTGGAAAAGCCTTTAGTTGTCATGAAAGCATTCAAACACATGAAAGAATTCACACAGGAGAGAAACCCTATCAATGTAAACACTGTGAGAAAGCCTACAGACACCGCAGTTCTCTTCGAACCCATGAAAGGAGTCACACTGGAGAGAAACCTTACCAGTGTAAACAGTGTGGAAAAGCCTTTCGATGTAAACAAACATTTCGAGCACATGAAAGGAGTCACGGAGGAGAGAAACCCTATGAATGTAAGCAGTGTGGTAAAGGCTTTAGTTATTTCAGTTCCTTCCAAATACACAAATGGCATCACACTGGAGAGAAAATGTATGTGTGTAAAACATGTTCTAAAGCATTGAGTAGTGCCACATCTCTTCGAAATCATGAAAGAACCCACACTGGTGAAAAGCCCTATGAGTGTAAGGAATGTGGGAAAGCCTACACCTGGCACAAAACCTTCCAATATCACATGATAACACATACTAGAGATGGACCTTATAAATGTGAAAAGTGTGAGAAAGTATTCCTTAATCCTAGTTCTCTAAAAATACATGAAAAGAGTCACACTGGGGAGAAACCCTATCAATGTAAACAATGTGGTAAAAGTTTTAGTTCTCAAAAAGGTTTCCAAATGCATGAAAGAACCCATACTGGAGAAAAACCCTATGAGTGTAAAATATGTGGGAAAACCTATACATGGTACAAAACCTTCCAATATCACATGATAACACACACTAGAGATGGACCTTATAAATGTAAAGAATGTGAGAAAGTGTTCATTAATCCCAGTTCTCTTAAAATCCATGAATGGAGTCACACTGGAGAGAAACCCTATCAATGTAAACAATGTGGTTTAAGTTTTAGTTCTCAAAGAGGTTTACAAAATCATGAAAGAAATCACACTGGAGAAAAACCCTATGAATGTAAGGAATATGGGAAAGCATTGTTTGTTACCAGTTCTTCTCAAAGACATGAAAGGACTCACAATAGAGAGAAACCGTATGTGTGTAAAACATATTCTAAAGCATTTAGTACTCACAGTTCTCTTCGAAATCATGCAAGAACCCACATTGGAGAAAACCCCTATGAATGCAAAATATGTGGGAAAACGTTCAGTTCCACCTATGTTCAAGTGCATGAAAGAACTCACACTGGAGAGAAACCTTATCAATGTCAGGAATGTGGGAAAGCCTACATTTCTCTGTCAAGCATTCGACGGCACATGAGACTGCACACTGGAGAGAAACCATATAAATGTGAAGAATGTGGGAAAGCCTTCTTTTATCACAGCAATTTACGAAGGCATGAAAAGATTCACTAGATAAAACCTCTTGTTTGTAAACAGCTTGGGAAACACTTCAGTTGGCCCACATCCTTAGACGTGAAAACTCCTATGAAGAGGTATAAATGTAACAAGATAACTTGTTGGAAAGTAATCCATGCCTAAAGTTCCAGAAAACCTTCAGTATGAAAGAGTTGTTTTAAAAGTTTTTAAATATGCTATGTTTAGCAAGGATCTTTCTTAAAGTATATCCTTGGACATAGGATCTCTACGAATTTCAAAAATAAATATTAATGTGAGTTCTGTAAGTTGTCTTTCAACAATAGTACATAAGGTTTAAAGGTAGTGATTTTGAGTTTAATCAGATGGTTTTTTTCTCTTTCCATTTTGAAGTCTGTTGGATCCATGGGTGAATTAAAATGTATTTCTAATATGCAGGTAGGCTTAAATTTTTATAATATTCTATTCATTCTCTGTTAAAGGGTCATTGAAAATGGCAGTTTGGTATTTGTTGGGATTTTTCTACTGGCCTTGGGTCGCAGTTCCTGTATACCCCTAATCTATTATATATATTGCACCTTTTTTACTAAGAAAGATCCTTTTGGGGGGGGTGGGTATAGGAGCCTTTTTCAGTTTTCCATTCTATTAAAGACTTGGAATAAATTTTTATGTATGGAAAGGTTGTCAAAGAGTATACTTTTACATAAATTATGATTTTCCTGTTTGCTTTTTGTCTTTCCTTCTGACTGGTAGTTGGTGAATAGAATTTGAATTAAGAAGAGAGACTTATGGGACTTCCCTGGTGGTCCAGTGGTTAAGACTCCGTGCTCCCAATGAAGAGGGCCCAGGTTCAATCCCTGGTCAGGGAACTAGGTCCTGTGTGCTGCAACTAAGACCCGGCACAGCCAAATGAATAAATAAATACTGAAAATAAGGGGGGGGGGCTTCCCTAGTGGCGCAGTGGTTGAGAATCCACCTGCCAATGGAGGGAACACGGGTTCAATCCCTGGTCTGGGAAGATCCCACATGCCGTATAGCAACTAAGCCTGTGCGCCACAACTACTAAGCCTGCGCTCTACAGCCCGTGAGTCACTACTGGGCCCATGTGCTGCGACTACTGAAGCCCGCACACCTAGAGCCCATGCTCTGCAACAAGAGAAGCCACCGCAATGAGAAGCCCGCACACCACAACGAAGAGTAGCCCCCACTTGCTGCAACTAGAGAAAGCCTGTGTGCAGCAACGAAGACCCAACCAAGCCAAAAATAAACAAATAAAAATTAAATTAAATTAAAAAAAAGAGAGACTTGTGATAGGACAAAAAATCTATAGAGTTGGAGATACATTGCCTGTGAGTAATGTTAGGAGCTAGATTTACCAGAATTCATCTCCTTTGTGACTCTGTGTTAGAAGTCATCAGTTGCATTACCTGAGTTGGATTGAAAGGCAGATGCAAAGAGGGTATTCTTCAGATTTTGGAGCCACCACACTGGGAGAGAGACAGATGAATAGGAGGTTTGAGGACAATGTCTTGCAGCTTATTTCCCAGATTCTGTGCCCCTGTAGTTAAGAGTATCCCCAACACCACCAACAAATATTTGATTTCCATTTTATTAGAAGTCTAGTTTTCCCCTGATGTCTTGACTAGTTCCACATCAAAATCCATCAGAGTTTGAATTTTTCTGTAAGGCCTCATGTCCACTTGGAAAGGAATTCATGTTTCATCATTGGGAGTATTGTCTGATTACCACCTTCTGTAGATTATATCTTTATAATGTCTAATTTGTATAGGAAACACCTTATGCCATTAATAGTGCTAGTGAGTATGTTTTCCTGATTCACCATGACATTCAGAAGGGTGCAGCCAAAGAGGTCAACATGGGGGTTTGTTTCTCTGCTGCACTGGGTAATGTCTGCCTTGACCCATAGTTTCCATGTGAGAATAAGCTCCTTCCTCATATCAGGAATACTGTGGTTCTGAAACCTAATGGTGTATCCCAAGTGGGATCTACCTGGAGACATCTTTGTTTGTATAAATCACATCATTTCCTCCCATAACCATCTGTAGACTATTTCCAGCTCTCAAGCCTACTCTGTGCCTGCTTATGTGGAAACATCTTTAGAAATCCATGTATATCCCACTCTGGAAATTTTCCTGAGGCAACACCAGTGACTGCTGAATTGAGAGGGTAATAGAAACAGTTGGCAGAACCTATGTTATGGGCACATTCCACTGGCCACAGTAATCCCGGCTGTCTCATATTTGTAAAATATGTTTGCTTGCTTGTTCACACAGTACTTCAATTTTTACTGAGTTTGAATGGGGAATCATAAGCTCTGGAATTTGTCTACATAACAGTTACTCCATTATTGTCTCCCTGCCCACACCCGTTTACCATAAAGGCTTTAGCAGTCTCTGTTTATGCATCCAGGTGTTTCTAAACCACCCATGGTGGACAAAAGTTATCCAAGGCATTCTTGTACCAGAAACTAGTCTCCTCAGCTGTTAACTGCACACAATTAGAACAGCTCTGCTGGCAGCTGACAGAGTTGTTCTGTAAATGGAGGCCCTCCCATGGCCAGAGTTGAGCCTCCACAGCCAATTTCCCATTTTGCCTTGGGTCATGAATGTAGGACCCCTCAGTTTTGCTAACCAGAGTCTTCCTCGTTAAAAAGGCATTGGTACTTGCAGCATAAAGCAAAAATTGGCCCCTCTGTCACATCCCACTTGCTGAAGAAACTGTGTTCCCCCCCAGTTAATGTCTTTTGTTCTAGAGCAGGTCACTTCTTTCTGGACACATGGCCACTTGAGGAGTCACTTGGGATCTCAGGAGAGACCAGGGAGTCCACATACTTTATATACAATGTGCTGCCACCACACCTGCAGATGGGGTCCACTGCAGAGATGCTGTGTTCTGTCCCTAAGTCAAACAGGCCATCTGAGATGAGAGACTGGACCCAAGCATTAGATGGATTAGTCAAATTCCAGGCAATCATGCTAGCAATAGAGAATTCCCCAGCCAAGAATGGAACTCATCTGTACATTTTTACAGATCCTTTGGCCACTACCAATGATCTAGGTGCCTCAACCACCAATCACAGCTCCTTATCCAAAGTTACCTCCTTCGGCATTAAGAAGTCTGAGAGTAACGCCTCACAATATCCAAGTCCAAGTCAATGCCAGTCCTTACTCTGTGCATATATTAAACCTCAGTCTGCAGAGGCTCAGTGTTCAGAGCGATAAATTGACTTCTGGGCACACTCTCACCTGGGATCTGATGGTATTAACCTCGGTCCTGTGAGCCCCTGCAATCCATAACCACTTAGAGGCCTCTAACCTCAATGTTAGTCAATATTCATGGGACATCCCTTCTCTGCCATGGCTGCCTTAGTGACTGACCAAGGCATCTGATGTGAACAAACACACCATTGGTAATAAACGCAATAGACATAGTTTCCTGACCAAGGAAGGGGTCCCTACAGCTGATGTCAAACAGACTTTGTAGGGCCCTTCACCCCCTCTACTGGCTACTTGCTATGCTCTAACCTTGGTAGATACTTATATACAAAATTTACTTATCCTATCACACATAACCCTTCTGAAACCAAAATGCAATCACTCACCGACACACGGTAGAAATTATTGATATCCACTCAATTCTGAAAAACCAGGCTGTTGAAAAAGGCGTTCAGTGGCAGTCTCAGGACCCCAGTCTACAACCCTCATAGGATGTTCTAATGGCTTACTTAAAGCTTGCTTTCTTCTATACATAGGTCTTCCTGCTGTTTAGGGCATTATTCAGATTTAATCCACAGTCTTTGGGGCCAGTTACTTTGTTCTGGTCATCAGGCTTACTGTTATCTTACGAGTAGAGCATTTCTATACTAGACATTCTGTCAGTGACATTTCTGGTCACTCCTAGAGGTCTTTGGTTTATTGTCATAGTAGATCCTGGCCACCACATGTATATCCCACTCCCAGTTCTTCCTCCTAACATCATCCATAGACTGGGTAACCTACATGTCAGTATTTCATTTGGGGCAACCACCTTCAAACCCCTCTGGCCTATCCAACACAAATGTGCTCTTTTCCTACAGTTTACAATCACAGACTCATCGTCGTTGGAGCCCCTGGCACTGACCTGGGCACACATAATGTCATTCAACAAACATCATTAATGCCAATCAAGAAATGTCAAAAACTTTCAAAATACATGTAGTAGTCAGCTGATGCCTCAGGTGTTTTCCATGAAGGACAACTCTCTAGCGGACATGGTAGCTGATGACCACTTGGCTTTGCACTATTTATGAGCCAGGGAAGGAGAGTTCTGTTCCCCTAGGAGGGCTGCTTGCTGCATGTGGGTGGAATACACTGGCAAGGTGCCACCAGTAACACAAATGAGACAGCAAATTAAAATAAACAACAACAATGTTATTGAAATATTTGAACAGAATTCCAGAACCATACTGACACTTTCCTGGATCCCTCAAAATACCTGGGTATGACAGGATTCCAGTGTTGTTTTGAAGCTTCATCATCTTAATTATGTTGCTTGTGCCACATGGCTTTTCAATTAATATTCAAATTCATTTCAGTGAGATGTGGCAGCATTCAGTCTGTAAACTTAAGGAGTGAAAGAACTGACCTCATTTTTGATATCTGACTCTTAAGGCTTCGGGAATCTGCTCACCTGTCTGGCCTACAGTGCATAACTAAGTTAGGAAGGGTGACACCTGCTCCTTTTCTTTTTGTGTCAGCAGGTGGGAGGGTCAAAACTTGAAAACCTGCAGCCTCCACTTATACACACATTAAGTAGCCAAGCCATTCTTTACACAAGGCACCTGAAGTAGCTTACCCTTGCCCAACTCTCCTTAGAAAGTACCTTTGAGTAATAAGAGTCTTTCTATTTTTTAAAATAAATTTATTTTTGGCTGCGTTGGGTCTTCATTGCAGCGCACAGGCTTTCTCTAGTTGCACCAAACGGGGGCTACTCTTCTTTGAGGTGAGCGGGCTTCTCCTTGCAGTGGCTTCTCTTGTTGC